TCCACTTGACCACATGCCATTAGGATCGGATAAATGGACGGAAACCCAAAGGCGAGGTCGCTTTAGGGAAGGCGTACTCTTGGAACCGCTTGGAACACCTCATCAGTTGGTCACCCAACCCATCGATAAGGTGAATTAGTCCGTTCTTTTTGATAAGTAAGGCTTCATTTATATACATAACTTCCATATTTTTACGGAGAAAATCCATAATTCAAAAAGACGGAGATCTCCGTTAAAAACAAGCTAGGGCCCGCCCTTCCGTCGAACCGAGTTGCCAGCTCCGCTTCGCTGCGCCGGCAACTTGGTTCGACAGGGGGCCGGCCCAGCTTGGCCTGCCGGCGGCCTTTTCTCGGGCCTTCGGCCCTCGCATCAGACCCAAATTTGCCAGTCGAAGGCCCGGGCCTTCGGCCCGCTCGCATCACACACACCGTGAGCGGGTAAAGCAAAGTTATCGATGTACCATCGTGACTTAGGCCCGCCCTTCTATTCACAATATGCAATAGTCCTTACACTTTTTACTCCAACTGTCCTTAGAATATGCCCGTTTCATTTGTCTCTTCGCCCTCATTCCGAAAATACCCATATTTGCCATGCTCCTGCAACTCCTTGCAATAGAGGCACAGCAGGAGCGCAAAACGAGTCCGTCGCACTTTTTCCCATAACTCATGAAGGCGGGCTCCTGGACCCCCCTTCCGACCCCTCGTTGAAGAGGTCTTGCCAAGACCTATCGAAAACTTAAGTAAAAATTTTCAGTCGGTCGACCCCCTTTTTTCAAGATCCTGATGTGACTAATAGACGAAGTCGGGCTCCTGGACCCCCTTTCCGACCCCTCGTTGAAAAGGTCTTGCTGAGACCAATCGAAATCTGCAATAATTTTTTTTAGTCGGTCGACCCCCTTTTTTGAAGATCCTGATCTGGCCAACTTGTAAAAGCGGCCGATGGGGTCGGGACCAGGTCCATTCATCTTGTCTCGTCGCCCCGATTCCAAAAATACCCCTATGTGCCCTGCTAGCACCAATAATGGCGGAAATCCCCCTCCCGCTCATGTAAACCATGATGCACCTGCAGCAGCCCTTGTGCGACCCGGACGGGATTTGCACCACCGGATTATTTGTTTGGACGGTACTCCTGAAGTACCCTCCAAATCTGGTTACTCTAGCTCAACTCCTTGTACACAGACGCCAACAACAACAACAACAACACACAGACACAAAGGCAAATGCATAGGCCCTCCCCCTATTTTTTGAATAGAAGGGCGGGCCAAAAATGGACAGTCTCCGTTACATTTCCGTATTTTTACGGAGTTTTCTGACAGTGTGGGTGTGATTGGAAAGCATGCGCAACCTGGAATGTATGCCACTTGCCACCATGCGGACTGTACGAACGTCGAACGTCATGCGCGCTTCAACGTTATCTCGTGGGATTCACAAGAACATCGGCTACCTCCAAGGAAGATCTGCTGGGATTCCCAGAAATCCCCAGGAGATGGTGTTACCGTGTACTTCTTCCCTCGGCTTCGGGTCCCGTAACGGGGGATCTCTTCACTCGCTATCACAAGGCAGAATCAATCGTTACTGCCCGGATGTTCCACTCAGTAACTTGAACGGTAGCTGGAATGGAGGAAAGCGGACCTACGCGCAGCGAGGCGCTGACCACGAGTGCAATGAAGACAGAAAACTCACAGCTCCACCCATTGGCGACCACACTGGTACACCCAAAGCTTGGTATTACCCTCTGTTCTCAAGCGTAATCAGTTTACGCAATAGGTTCATCCGCCAAGTTTCCCCCTATCTAAATGCATGGGGGAATTTCCAGTGTATGCTTCATTTCAAGCTGAGGGGTCCACCACTCAGCTCACTCTACAAATCAAAGAGTGTACATGGTATGCTCTAACTGGAGCATGCCTGCAAGCACGCTCTAGCTAGCGCATGCCTGCCAAGCATGCACTAACTAGTGCATACATGCCATGTACACGCTTCCTGATGCAGAAAACTCCCTATCCCTTATGCAGTAAATGTATGCTTCAGTTAGCGTGTACATGGCATGTATGCACTAGTTAGTGCATGCTTGGCAGGCATGCGCTAGCTAGAGCGTGCTTGCAGGCATGCTCCAGTTAGAGCATACTATGTACACTCTTCGATTTGTAGAGCAGGAGTGTACACAGGATTACTGATTGCCAGTGATTTACCAAATACTCCAAACACAATCAGTTTGGCCAGTTAAAAGCATTTTTCCCCTATTTTCATCAGAAAAAATCCAAAAAATCCGATAAAAACAGCGAAAATAGCCAGTTTTAGCGTGTGATTAACAATGGTTACAGGACGAAGTATTCGCACGATTACCAGAGTGATAAAAACAGCGAAAATAGCCAGTTTTAGCGTGTGATTAACAGTGGTTACAGGACGAAGTGTACACACGATCACCAGAGTGCTGGACCCCTCGTTTCAAGCGTAATGTCTTCGAGCTTAACTTCATGTTTGACTCAAGCGTAGAGTTACGCTCTAGTTCTACCAGTGCACCGTTACAAGTTACTCTTTGGGCCAGCCGGACTGTATGCCAGTCAGTCAGCCACTCAAGGGGCACTCGAGATATGGTTTCACACCAGGCCGTATACAGCGAGCTGATTCTGAACTGTCTGTCGCACTCATTGAACATTCCGTAAGGGTGCGAGAGAGATAGCGAAGAAAGCAGTGCTCGCCATCGGCCTGCTGATAGAGGCAAGGGACGCGCTCGATGTTGGACGCTTTTCTCAGAAGTTGGGCAGGAAGTCACACACGGTTTGTGCCAAAGTTAGCGATCTGTATCGCTACTTTTCCTGTTGCAGGACCAGTTGTGGTAATTATGGGACACGGGGTAAAAATGGGACAGCTGATTCTTCGTCAAGAATCGAGATTTTAGAACTTGTGCCGCAGCAAATGTTATTTTCTCAATACATCACATTTGGTATGTTATGCGTTCAAAAATGTCAAATCTTGACTAATCAGCTGTCCCATTTTTACCCAGTGTCCCATAATAACCCCCAACTGACCCTATTTTCTCTTTAGCGCGGCCACCTACCCCTGGATTATCCCTCTGGACTACGGGCAGGGAAGAATCAAAACCGTGCAGGAGCGGAGGAAAATCGCACACCCCTAGTGTAGACTGAACTGTCACATTCTGTCATTAGGAAATACGTTTTACACAGAAGAAACTCTACGATTTTTAATACGAAGAAAACGAAGGCATTGTAAAATCTACGAAGAAATGTTTCGTATTATGAAACAGAATCCTTCGTAATACGAAGCATTTCTTCATAATGCGAAGCAATTCTACAATGCCTTCAGTTCCTTTGTAGTCATAACGCAAATGCTTCGTAGGCTTTTAAGCGCGCTTTTAAGAGTGTACACGGTAAAAACCGTTCAAGCTTTTCATTGGGACTACTCCAACACGTGACAGTATCAGTCGTTCTTAAAATTAGCAAATCCAGTCTAAAAATAGGGTGTCCGATTTTTATCCACCCCTTAGGTGTTCGGTTCTTCTCCGCTCTGACCCTGAAAGGATGAAAATTAAAAACGCTGGGCCGTTGGTGAATAAGGCATACGTCAAATCCTTTCAATGCATGAAGAGCAAAGTGTTCACGGACAATGTCCCTTGCACAACGCCCTCAAACATGTCACTGATGTGTATTACTATGATGTCTTCTTGCCGCTGCGGTACAGGAGGGAGTAGTTAAGTGTTCTACACTGTGTAACGTAAATAATGGACGGCCCCTCAGGGAGTTCTGAAGCTATCGCCTTGAGTGCGTCAAGGACAAAAACTGTCTCTGGCTGCGCAGTTTGTAATCTCTTAAAAAGGCAAAGGCGTCATTATTAAGGCTGATCTATGCGTGCGTCCCCAGAGTGCCGGCACTGTCTGCAGGAGATAAAGAAGACTCACCGTCTGGCTGCACCACAACACCCCTTCCTTTATTAAGCTGGGATGACAATCACGCAAATTCAGGGACAAAGACGGGTCGCTCTACCTACATAGAAACCTCGTCTTTGACACCAAGATGTAACCAAATTTCAGACTCGCAAAATGACACTTTCCAATAAAACTGAAGGTTAGTCGGGTTTTTCATTTGAAAAAAGCTGGTTCTTAAACGTTCATTTTGAAAAAAAAAAGTTTGACTCTTGGATTTGTGATCTTTCTGCTTAACCACGAAAATCCGCTGGAAATTGATACACGATTTTCTCAGAATACGGTATCACTGAGAATGAATGGGTCACCACCATCACCCATTAAATGGGTGATGCAACTTCGTTGCCCAATTTTGGGTGATGATAAATTCATCACCCAAAATTTGGTAACAGGCGTTAGGTCGCCCAAATTTGGGTAACGTCGTCGGCGACGCCCTCTGGTCCCCGATGACGTCCTTCCGGGGCCACCACGATGACCGGAGGCCTCAACGCCACATGGCGGTCATCGTGGTGGCCCTGGAAGAACGTCATCGAGGACCTTACGGCGTCGCCGACGACGTTACCCAAATTTGGGCAACGATTTTATGACTGCCCAAAATTTGGCCACCGCTGGCTCGTTACCCAAATTTGAGCGACGATGCGTGCGTCACCCAACAAAAGGGCGATGGTGGTGACTCTTTCATTCTCAGTGATCGTATCATAAATGTCTTTGTTCCTATCCCTCTCCAAAGGGCTCCTGGCGCCCTACGTTAAACTAGGATAATGGAAATAGATGGTTCCCAAGTGCCTCAAATTTACGTTGTTAGGTATACCGAAAAAAGTACTCAAACCCTTACAGTCATCGCCGTGTGAAGAACAAAAGTAATCAAATATTCTGGAACTAGCAGCGCGCCATCTAGCGGCGTTTACTTTCAAACTGTCAAAAGGCGAGCCCTCATTGGTCACAAGTCTGGACTAAGTTCACAATAGTCGCCGCTAGGGCGCGCGCTACTGGTTCCTGCTTTTTTATAACTTTCACCCGGTGACGACTGGAAGGCTCTATTTGGACGTTTTCATAATCGCAGTGGATATTCGCACGAGGAGGGCGAATAAGGAAATGGGTTTAGCATGCACTCGTCGTGCGAATAAGGGTGATTTCGTTATTCGCACGACGAGTTATATAATATATTATAAAAATCGTGCGAACAACAACACGTCAGCAAGGGGCACAAGTCGTGCGAGTGATAAAGCAACCGTTATTCGCACTACAGCAGGGGGAGAGTGGAACTGCAACCCCTAACAATATTATCAGATCTTAAAAAAACTTAATTAATTTATGATGCAAACGATTACTTGGTGAAAGGTTGGGTTGGAAAAATGCTAAAAAAAAAACCAGAGATTCACTTTTAAATATTTAATGAAAAGAATTTAAAAGGCACATACTTAATACAGAGATACAAAGATAAACAAATCTCAGGTAAAATAAAAGTGCACATACTTCATACTAATTAAAAAGTTATTTAAAATTACACTAAAAAGTGAATTAAAAAAAGGAGGAACAAATTCAATGTAAAATAATTTACAAAATGTAAGAAATGACATGACATTACACAGAGATGCAAGGTAGATTTTGAAAACCTATTCAAAAAGTTTCCGATTACAGTGCCTACAAAATTTGAGGCTACACAGAACCTCGTCTACCAAAACATAAATTTACTAAGGTGTTAACGAATTTAAGAGGCACATACTGAATACAGAGATACAATGATAAACAAATCTCAGGTAAAGTAATAGTGAACATACTTTATAATAAGATAAACAAATCTCAGGTAAATTAAAAGTGAACATACATATTAATAATTAAAAAGGTAGGAACAAGTTCAATGTCAAATTATGTAAGAAATGACATGACGTAACAAAGAGGTACAAGGTAGATTTTGAAAACCTATTCCAAAAGTTTCCCATTTGAGGCTGCAGAAAAACTCACCCACCAAAAGATAAATTTACTGAGGTGAAAATAGTTTTTTCTTTATAAGGCTTCTGCCCTTCCTTGACACCTTAGACGGGGTGGTTCCTGTAAAATGAGAAAAGTATTGTAGCCGTGACAGTAATTGTGGTTCTTGATAGTTTCATTGCACACAAACCTTTGGAGCAGTCCCTGCAAAATCGCTCTCCATCTTCTATCCGACAGCACTCAACTGTGTCATGCAATTGCTTTCCACACACTGAACATTCTAATTTTTCGATCGGTGCCTTACCCAGAAGGCAAGGCAAACAAGAAAATTGTGAAGAGCTTAGGGACGCATCAGACGTTCTTTTGTTTCCTCCTAAATCAATCAATGTTCAGCATAAGAAGAATAGTATTTAAAAAAAAAGAAACTTGTGATGAAACGTGAACCAAATATACAGACCACTGCAACATCCACAAATCCTCGGCTGGCCGTAACCCTCTTCACTGTGTGGTGCACCCACCGAGCATGGTTCAATCGCATGGACAGGTTTTTTACACACTGAGCATCGGTGGCCTCCTCCTGCCTCCTCACCACACTTGCAGCAAACATCCATATTATTGCTAGCATCTATATTAAAAAAATTAATTAAAATGAATTGTTTAAACAGAATAAGACTTTTTGCATCTTAATTTACAAAAGAGGAGGGAATGAATATGTGATTAGCTGTTCTTTATCTTATTTGTTAACATTTTAGAGTGATCTGGACAGCACTTACCACAATTCCAATGTGGTCACAAACAGATGTCCAGAAAGGCCACTCATATTTGAAAGCAATACTTATAATAAAAATAACAATAATAATTATTATGAGAGAGCTAGAAGAGGTTTTCCAAATTGTATAACACATTTCCGAAATCAAATAATGACTTAACAGAAAAGCATTTCTTTCAAATAATGAGTTACCTTTCTGATAGTTTTCCAAGGCAGAATTAAGGCTAGAACAAAAAATACCTGGTTCATGTGCCAAATTATCCCATGTTAGTTACTAGATAGGGAATACTGCGCAAAGCTCATGTTAGTTAAAATCATAAAAGCAAGAAGCACTGAGGCCCACTACATTGAAAAGATCCTACTGATTATGATCTTTACCAAACTACCTGCACTGAACCTGCTAGAGAATATTTACACCATTCATGATGATAGCAAAAATAAAACGGATACCTCCACTCATTTCATTTGCAATCATATCCTGGATCTTCAGGATATGCTTGCAAGGGCGGAACCTGTCTGGACAAGAGCATGAATAGGTGTTCTGATGAACGTTGATGGAGTAGACAGAATTAGGGTTGCTTTGTGATTTCACTTCCCACAGTCCAGGGTTTTTTTTATATACATCTTTGGAGCTGATCTCTTTGCTGTTATTTGTCCTTACTAATAGCTGATGTTCTTTCTTGGCAGAAGGACATGAAATTTGACCTACAGAAAGAAAAGATAAGCAACATACAAAGATACCAAAGGCTAATTTAGTTCCAAAGAGCTAGGTGAATTTATTAATTAGTTACTTTTCCCCTTAATTTTGCGTTGATAATAATTAGTTGTTTTTCCTAAGCCTCTCGGCCTTCCCTTATGTCTGATGGTTGTAGGCAACTTCAGTGTGGGAACCAAATTCCTAATACATAATGATGCAGATGATGCCTCCTGTTCTTCTTCAAGAATTATTTCTTCAATAGATTCTTCATCACTTTCAAATTCTTCATTGTTTTTTTTATCTGGTTCATTACTATTTTGTACTTCTTGATCTTGACTGCTTTGCGATTCTTCTTCATCTATTTGATCCACAAGTAAGGAGAGCATTTCATCATTACCATCATTATCTTCCCATAATGTTGAAGAGTCTGGAAAAGAAATGTTATAAGAACATTAAAGACATCAATTCAAATGTAAATTATGGACAGATACGAAAATGAATGAATTTAGTAGGAGACTAACCATTCTTCTTTACAGATTGATTGCCAACATTGTGGTGGACGGTAGCATACGTTACTACTTTAGTAACTTGCTGAGAAGTGATATCTAAATTAAAGGAAAATATAGTACCAAGAAAATGATTAGCATAGAAACAATGGACAAAAATTATAAGAATCTCAAAAAACAAAGCTCACCATCCAAATCAACAGATTCATTTCGAACACTGTTGTGTGAAATGGCTCTGGGCACTTTTATCTTGCCAATCCATTGAAAAAAGCCACACTGCTGTTCTTTAGGACGATTACAGCAATAAAACATGCGGCCTTTGTTAATGCCTTCTTTTACAACAGTCAACCTTTTTAAAAAAAATAGAAGATGAAAGTAATGATGACAATTTATAACAATATTTTTAAAGCATCATCCATCAACAGTTAATATTGTACCTTTTGGTGGGACGTCTGCATTTGCACAAAGGTGGCAGTGTCTCTGTTAGTCTATTCAAATTCTCTTGCACAGTGCTGGAGAAACAGTCTGCCCTTTCCTGAACAACAGTCCGATTGGCCATCATCGCAGTATCAGTCATAGTCTGGTCTTCAATGGTCTGTTGTACAACCACCTGTTCTTCAGCCGCCTTTTCTTGAACTACCTGTTCTTGAACCACCTGTTCTTCAACCACCTCGTCTTCAGCAATAACAATCTCAATCTTGTCCCCCTGACCAAGGTTCTGAGCAGCCCCATTTGTGATGACACTGTGAGTACCATTGGAGCCTGCAACAACTAAATTAAATATTCGTTTAGACTATGTTATGAGAATCCCCAACATAGCACATGTTTCCTCCCTGAGCTTCTCAATGAAAGAGGAAGTTAATTGATTACCTTCAAGAATAGCAATCTCCTTCCCTTTGGTCCACATTTCTAGTAGATCTTTCAGTTGCTGATGGCGGTGGGCATACTGACTCGTGCCACATTCTGCTAGAACATTGCACAGTTTTTTGGCAATGTCCATTGCAACTGTGAACCTCTGCTGGCTATTAGTGGGCACAATCCTAGCTGGCATTCTGTGTGCAACTACAACACCAGGAGAGCATGCCTGTGTTACAGGTACATCGACTGATTCTTGCAGCCACATAGGGTCTATTTCACCCCTTTCATACAGGGGTAATCCTAAACACAAAATGTAAAAGTTAGAGCGGAGCCTAAATCATTGTTAAAGAGCAAGGAAACTGTATGAAGGTTACCTTCTTTCAGCCGCAAGTGCATTATGTGTCGGCAGGGAAGTCTGAAGGACAACCGAGTGACACATGCGCAGTAAGTTGTGGTGGATTGATGGTCATGAATGGAACTTTCTTCCACTTTTTCTGATAGTTTATACTGGTCTCTCATGTAATTGGCTGCAAACTTGGTGAATTCTGAGACAATTTTTCCCAGAACAGGGTCTGTGTTTCCAATTATGTATTGTCTTTTGATACTTTCAGTAGTATCCCTGAACATCACATCTTCTTGTTTGTTCCTGAAGAGATCAGTAAGGCCTTTGATTGCTTCCCACAAAGCATTATCTTGATCAAGAACCTTAAAAAAATAAGAATTTTTTACAACAGTCGAAAGGAAACCAGTTAACTCAAAATTCAAGATAAAACCCACAAAACTTACCAGTTTTATTACTCCATTATGGTTTTCGACTCTATTAGATGTGGTGTTGCCCAAACTGTCGTGACGATCTCTGGATGACCAACCCTCACTAATTGTTAGCCAATTCTCGTCAAAGTACTTAATCATAGCATCACTAGCAACTGCCTTGAATTCTGTCACTAATTCTTCAAACTTTTCATTATTTGTGCAATATCTTAACTTTGTTAGGATTTCAAGTACAACTGGAGGTTCATGCAATTCACTAGTTTTTTTTTTAAATGTTTTTGAAACATGAAAGTCGCACAGCTGTATGCTGCAGTGTGGAAAGACCTCTCTCAATGCCCCTATTTCGGAATAGTCCTTGTCCACCACAACCACTTTCATTTTTTGGACTGTGTCATTTCCAAGTGACTGTTTAAGGCACTCCAGCACTTTCTTCAGGGTAACCTTCAGCTCATTAGCTACAAAGGCATAGCCCCCCACCCGACCAGCGCCATGTCCATCCATGACCATGAACACTACCACGGGCATTTGATTTTTGTTAATCTTATAGGTAGTGTCCATGATCGTGACAGACGGATACTTCGCCATGTTCTCCTTCATTTCAGAGGTTTGGAAGAATAAAAATTCCATGTTGTCCTCTTTGTCTTGCCCTACGTGGATGTTGGCCCCAGGGTCCTCGTCCACTAGTTCTTGAAGGACATCCAGTAACTTCTCTTCTTCTGTTAGGCCACCCAGCGCTGCTTTCTTCATTCTTGCCCTGAAAGACAGAAAAAGGATAAATGAAACCTGCTCATTTATCAACATTGCAGTTGAAACTGCTCGTATACCAACCTTGCATTAGCAATGTCCCTTGTCGTAACTTTAGTTGAAGTCTGACCAGCAAGTAGGTTTCTAATCATAGTGGGCTTCACCTTGGCTTTCAGGAGATTTTCAACAGTTTGACTCTGTTCCTTGTCGAGTCGCCTGCCCTCTGGGTAGCAAGATTTAATGTTTGCAGTAACAGGATGAGAATGTTTTAAATTAACCTCTGATACCACTAGTTTCTTAGTATCCTTGACATATTTTAAACCTATTCTGGCAGGGCAACCTGTTTTGAAAGTACTGAAAGAAATAATACACTTTTTATCCGGCATTCAACAGCAACAGCAATCTGAGCTCATGATAAGAAATAATTTACGATACCTTTGATTCACTCGTATACCATTTCCACTGCCAATTCTGGGTTTGCCCCCAGACTTGCAAGTATATGTAAGATACTTATACTTAATATCAGGATTGATTAATTCCTTATTGAGGGCTTGCAAGAGCTTGTTCTCTGTTTCAACCGCTCTGGAGTGCTTGATTACCCACACAGTCATAGTCCTTTCAGAGTAGGCATTGAGCAGAGCTTCGAACTCAGAAAATGAATTGAAATCTGCTGGAGACAAGGCTTCCAGTCATTTTCCTTGAAACAAAAGGTAAAAGTGAAAACATTGAACATGAAACTTGTAGACAGGTTAGGTTACAAGTAGCAACCCATACATTCCAAACTACTAATATTATACTATTCATTGTTAAATGGACAAATCCTGTACAAAATATCAGTGCAGACCAACAGATGTGATGATGGATTCTTACCTGCATCTTTGAAATACTGCTTTCACCACACTCCCAACGTCCGAGAAACGTGTCACACCGGAAACGAAGAACTAGGAAAACGCTTAACGTTTCAAATATCAGAATAGGTGAAGAAACCTACGAACAAGAAAAAAAACTACAAAAGAAAGTTGTTTTACATTTTCCCAATAGAAACACGGAGGTTAGGTACCTATGAAAGCAATAACACAAGGAAAAATACTTATCTGACATGAACGAACGAGTAAATAACCACTGTTTCGCATTAAAATAATAAACCGAAGCATCGGAGACGTTTGTAGGCATTAATTTAAGTTGTAGGGCGTATATCAGAAGCGTTAAAATGAACACTAATAGTGCGCTGTAAAAACATTATGTTATTCGCACTACTTTCGCTTCTTTCCGGGGTCGTAGTGCGCATACCATACGATGCCTTGCCGGCACGACTTTTGTAGTGCGGATAGGGTTTCTACCCTTCGGCGCACGACATAGTGCGAATATAATCAGTGTTTCATAATTGTTTTCGGCCCCCTCCGCTTGCCCGATTGAAGATGTCCTCGTTCAGAGTGATGGTCTTATGGAGGTGAAACATCGGAAAAATTATGAAGTCAAAACACTCAACGGTCTGGCTTTATCGCGCGTCACTGAGAATGAAAGAGTCATGATCATGACTAAAATTTTGGGCGAGGAATTCCTTATTACCTAAATTTGGGCGAGGAAACCTTCCTCGCCCGAATTTGGGTGAGAAAGGTTTCCTCACCCAAATTTGGGTCATAATACTATGGAGCCATATAGGCAGCTGATACACGCTTCCTCACCCAATTTTGGGCGAGGAAGCCTTCCTCACCCAAATTTGGGCGAGGAAACAATCCTCGCCCAAATTTGGGTCATAAAGTATACCTCGCCCAAAATGGGGCATTGATCATGACTCTTTCATTCTCAGTGGTGCAAGACCCAAAATATTGCAATTGAGTACACATGGCTTCTAAGATTTAACGGTGTAACTTATCCTGTGGAAAATAAAATACAAAATATATCCTCTGGCCAAACGGCTTTGAAATCCAAAACCAGCCAGCCACCCAAGGGGTCAATCCCCACAAGAATTCAAAAAAAAAAACACTGCCATTCCAAGTGTGAGACAGTCTCACACTTGTAGGTGTGGGACATTTTGTCTCACGCTTTCAGGTGTGAGCCACGCTTGTCTTGTCTCACTGTTGCAAGCGTGGGACAAGCTGTGTCTCACACTTGCAAGTGTGAGACACAGCCTGTCCCACACTTGCTGCCTACGCTAGCTCTGTGGTTTAATGCCAAGGGTTTCACGCCAGCAAGTGTAGGACAAACCGTGTCTGCACATCGTGCAGACATCGATGTCTCACACTTGCAAGCGTGGCTTACACATGTAAGCGTGAGACAAAATGTCCCTCACCTTCAAGTGTGAGACTGTCTCACACTTGGATTGGCAGTGCACAAAAAGAAAATGTGATTTTTCGAAGGAGAATGAAAAGTCGCCCCCGTCAAGGATGGCCCAGGAATAGTTGCTCTGAAACACAAAAAGCAAGTAACTTAGGCTGTAATTATTAAGAGAAAGTAGAGCTGGTAATAGTACCTTATCATCTGAATGCCTTACTTAGTGTAACTTATGTCTTAAAAACGATGGAGTGAGTCCGTGAGTGAGATGGTGTATGAATACTTCCAGAAGCGTGTGGTATGGAACCATATCACTTGCCCGTGTCGCGCTATCACCTATCGTCACAGTACGCGCCTTTATCAAGATAGCGATCATGCTATAAAAAAGATCACTGTCCACTTGCCCTGCAGTCAACATGGGGACTTCGTGGGCACTGGTTGCCTGCCTGGTCCTGTGCGTTGGCAGCGCCGTCAGTTTGCCGTCGCTGGGAACGGTCGGCGACGAAGACGAGGCAAATTACATTCTGCCGGAGGGGTTCCTCCTGGGCGGCGGCACGAGCGCGGTCCAAACCGAGGGCGCGTGGGACGAAGATGGTGAGTCCGGCACAGCGACCAGCACAGCGGACGCCCGGTCCCGTTCTGGGATTGTCGGCCCAGCGTCAGTGGCGGATCCGAAATATCCGAGAGAAAAAAAATTGGGAAAAGTCCATGGAATTTTTCTGAAACTTCTCAATGGCGCTCTCTAAAAAGCAAACTCTGGGCGTTCTCCGAAAAGTTTCGGAAAGTTGAACCAAATTGCATGCTTCACTATCAGGATATCACGTGAAAAGGTTTGCTACCGGGAAAGGTGAGGATCTACTTGTTCAGCTCAGTGTTAATAGCATTAAGGGAAGGCTACAGGATGTAAGTCAAATAAGCTCAAAGTTGATGGTCCCTTCTCAGTCCATATTCAGAAAAAAGAATGCTTTGGCGCAGCGCTTGTTAACTATCTGAGAAAAGAGATGCGTCTTGCCTTCCATCAGAGCGCAAGTAATGCTCCGAAGAAAATTTGTTTAAGCCCTGAGAAAATCTCTCCGCAAAAAGATGGAAATTAAACGTGAACGTTCACTAGTAAAACTAAAGCGTAACTCTATGCTTGAGTCAAGCATAAAGTTACGCTTAAAGACGTTACGCTTGAAATGAAGCATACTCTGGAAAATCCCCCATGCATTTACATAAGGGGAAACTAGGCGGATGGATGAGCCTGTTACGTTTGATTTCAAGCGTAACCTGATTACGCTTGAAAACAGAGACTAACACTACGCTTTAGTTTTACCAGTGTTGTTATGTTATTGTCTTTATCCATAAAATTTCGGAGCTAGTTGCAGACAAGTGTGAACTTGCCTTTTCTGAATTTAAATAGTTTCATGCTCAGAGCACGCATCTAAACACGTATATGTAGATGTGAACTCGAATAATCATGCAGGTGTACTAGAGCACGCATCTGAATGCACTGAGCACTTATTTCATTTGGTATAGCCGGTATAGCAGATCGCGCGTAGTTTCTGTTTCTGACACGTGAAACTGTTACCTGAAAATCTGACGCACCGTTCGTTAAGTTATTACTTTTGGTTTGGCTTTGACCTTGATTGCAGGCAAGGGCGTTAACGTGTTCGACGCGTACTATCACAGCCACAACAAGTCAACCGACCAAACAGGAGACATTGCAGCCGATTCGTATCACCGCTACAAGGAAGATATCGGAATTGCTGCTGATATTGGAGTGAGTACCTGGCAGTCCGTAAGTGCGACAATGCGTCCAAGGCGAACGCATCATGTGCCCCATGGAAAATCCCATTGCTCGACACGAGGAAATCTGAGACACTTACTTCGCCAAGGGTCAATTTCCGTCACATTTCCAACCGTACTGTCTTACAAACAAATTTATTTGCTTTACTCTAGTTATTTAGGAAAATTTATTTATTTGCCTCACATGTTTTCCAAATTTCTTTCAGTACACAATTAAAATTTTATTGTGAAATGCCTCACTCTTAAAAGCCTACGAAGCATTTGCTTCATAACTACAAAGAAAATGAAGGCATTGTAAAATCTACGAAGAAATGCTTCGTATTACGAAGGATTTTGCTTCGTAATACGAAGCATTTCTTCGTAGATTTTACAATGCCTTCATTTTCTTCGTATTACAAAGCGGTTCTTCGTAGAGTTTTTACTGTGCTCGTGAAAACTTACTACAACGTTGCGACGAATAAATTGCTATTTTCAGTTAAGGATTTTCTGTTTTCACTCCCGGGGTGAGTGTGGATTCTACGCCCGCAGAGGCGCCTCAGAGGCGTGGAATCCACACTCACCCCGGGAGTGAAAACAGAAAATCCTTAACTGAACAAAGCATACACACTCTTAAAAGCCTACGAAGCATTTGCTTCATAACTACTTCGTATTACAAAGCGGTTCTTCGTAGAGTTTTTACTGTGTATTCACTGCGATGTAATGACAAAAGCCGAAACATGAAAAATAATGGCTTCTATTCTCTTCTCTTAGCTGAACGCTCTACGTTTCTCCATTTCCTGGGCGAGGATATTTAAGACTGGCCGTAAGGACTCCATCAACCCGGCAGGCGTGCAGCACTACCATGACGTCATTGATGAAATGCGTCGAAAGAATATCGAACCAGTGGTGAGCCAGAACCCTTTCTAATTCACGAAGTTCGAAGGGTGACCTATTTTTGGCGATGCGAAAAGTATCACCGAAAAAATGACACACACTTGTGAATCACCGGAAAATGGTGATACTCCATGGCATGAGCAAAAACTGGTTGCACATCGAGGTTGTTGTTTTTCTTGCTGAAATGTCACCGTTCATTGGTGATACCAAAAAGTATCTGCTTCTTTCGGCCATACATCAAAGTATCACCCTCGTACGGTTATACATTTTAGTACCACCCTTTGTAGGGGAGACAGACCCGTCTCACTTCATGATGTGTCACCTTTCGATTTTCGCTGCGGTTACTGCAGAGCGACCCATTCTGATCTGTTTAACTTGAATTTCTGGTCGTAAAGGGGGAATTTTGTTTAAATTTTAATTTCACAAGCTTTGATTTGCATACACTCTCATTCCAAGTACGTGACATTACGTCGAAACGAACGTGACAAAATGACAAAATGTCACGTTGGTTTGAGCAGCGAAAACGCTGTAACGAAAATTTTGGAGAGGTGCTATGGTTGTACCCTTGAAGTAAGAGGGTAGAGCTCTGTTTGAAAATAGTAAGAATCCGATTCTCTCGAAAGTCCGGTTGACCGGTTGCCGTCCCGAGAGCGAGTGGGGTGGTCATGGTACCCCAGTGGTCATGGTTCCCCACCCTCCCTTGCAATGAGAGTGTAGTCAAGCCAAATTGATTTCAGAATAGAATAACAGGAAAAGTAGCGATATACATCGGCAACTTTGGCCCGTCCCGTAAATTAATAAACTTACGAATTTCGCCTATGTTTGACCCTGACGGGAATTAAACCTGAGTCTGGGGTTAAAATAAATGTCGTTTTCGTCACCATCACCCTCAAAAACATCAGAAACAATGCAAAAACTCGAATAAAAAGAATGTTTAAAAAATACCTTGCTGGGATTTGAACCCGGGTCCGAACTTCTCCGATTCGCTCGAAACTGGCACCATTGGTTTTTTTCTCGTCGCCCCGATTCCAAAAATACCCCTACATGGCCTTCTAGCTGCATCCGTTGCCGAGATCCTCCTCGACCCCATGTAGACCATGATGCACCTGCAGCAGCGTCCCCGGGACTTGAATGGGATTTGCTGCCACCGGGCGGTTCTTAGGATCACCCAAGGAGGCTGCATACCAAATTTGGTCTAGATCGGACCACGGGAAGTCCTCGAACGGACGGACGGACGCACGGCAGGGATCATACTATATGCCCGTCCCTCCGTCATTTTTTTTACAAAAACTAAACGGGACGGGCCAAAAATCAACCTTGTTCATTAATTTGCATAAATTCTGCATGTTCTTACGGCAGAGTTAAGTGGCAACTGCACCTGTGAAATGCTCGAGCGTGGTGTGCTTTTGAGTACAGAGTTAGGGCCTTGCTCTTGCAGGTGGCGCGTCATTAACTCAATGCACGCGCCTTCAATTCACCATTTCAAATTTTGTGTCGCAGGTGACCATCTACCATTTTGATCACCCTCAAGCTCTGCATGAGGAGTTCGACGGGTGGCTTGGCGAACAAATGCCCGCCGTCTTCGCTGAGTTCGCAGACTTTCTGTTCGCAGAGTACGGAAGCAAGGTACGTGGCTCCATGTACGATGTCGGAAACAGGTGTTAAGTTGAAGCCTCGCGAAATAGCGGGGTCATAACCCATATAGCTGCGCCTTTTCTCTGTGCTAATGGCGTTGGCGTTACTACAGAGTTATTAAAAATTTCACTTATTTTCCTGAAAGAACCAGCTGACATGCTTGCATGTCAGCCGGTCATGCACGTCACGCTCAGTGCACGTACTGTGAAAAGAGTCTTGATCAATACCGAATTTTGGGCAAGGTATACTTTACCACCCCAACGTGGGTTAGGAGGTCCGTGAAGGTAGCCCGCCCACACACAGCCTGCAACAAATTTCCTTCTGCAATCGTTAGTATATCGTTGGTACATGATTGTAGACCCAATGCGCCCGTTAGTATACACACCCAAGTGCGTTTTAAAAAAATGCCCAAAAGGCGGGCCACATTCACATGTTCAGTTACTTTCAAAAAAACGTGCCAAAAAAGAAAACGTCCTAAAATCGTTAGTAGACATTAGTAGAGGCCATCTCGTCACTATCAACATCATTCACTATCACCACGGCCGCAGTCTTGCACCAGCGAGGCCGGGCCAGGTTCCAAAAAGCAAATACTGATCAAATAACACTAAAGAAGTGTTTGTTCCGTTCAATTGCGTTAGTAGACGTTAGTAGAGGCCATATGGTCACTATCAACATCATCACTAACACAGAGAACGTGGTATTGCTTAAGTGAGGCTAGGCCAGGTTCCAAAAAGCAAATACCGATCGAAAAACACCAACGAAGTGTTTTTTCCGTCCAAAAGCGTTAGTAGACGTTAGTAGAGGCCATGTGGTCACTATCAACATCATCACTAACGCAAAGAACGTGGTATTGCTCAAGCGCGGCTGGGCCAGGTTCCAAAAAGCAAATACTGATCAAAGAACACCAACGAAAGGTTTGTTCCGCCCAAAAGCGTTAGTAGACGTTAGTAGAGGCCATATTGTCACTATAAACATCATCACTAACACAGAGAACGTGGTATTGCTTTAGTGCGGCTGGGCCAGGTTCCAAAAAGCTAATACCGATCCAATAACACCAACGAAGTGTTTGTTCCGTTCAATT